CCCTGTTTAAAACCTGATTAATTGCCTTTTGGGAAAAAAAAAGCAGACAAGCATTCTTGTAGGAGTTCTACTTCTTTAAATAAAAATACTTAGTTTATATGTTTCCTTCTCTACAAAAGGAGAGTGTGTCCTCTACAAGTCAAGCACAAAATTTCCTAGGAGTCAAGTACAAAAGCTTTCTCTTCAAAGAGGAAAGATGAGATGTACTTTAAAGAGAGACTTCCAGAGAAAGAAGAAAAAGAATTCAAGTCTAGGATGAATATAGCTTGGATAATACCAAGGCAGTTTCTTCTCCTGATAGCTCAGCAAGAATGGAAACCTCCCTCCTGAGAATACACTGCCATGGGGAGCAAGTGTGTTTTAATCTGGTGTGAGAGATGAGGCTCTTCAGTCAAAGCTGAGAGGGCACAAAGCTCTTCTCTTACACACAAAGTAAGGACAGAAAGTTGTCTTCTAAAAAGCTTGTTCCCTGTCTACTTCTCACAACCCTTTCCCTCCAGAAAGGAAGAAGGAAAACTTTCTAAAATAAACTAGCAAAGAAAATCAAGAAGTTGAGTTGCCAAGTGCTGGAAGGAGCTGCTGTGCCCAGGAGCAGGGCTGGACTCCTCACTCTTCCCAAGAGTAGCTGGAGATGAAGCAAGAACTTGGGTAACACCGAACGACCTTTTTCCTTCACCTTTTTTGCATTCAAGCATTTTCACACCAGACCAAAAGGGACTACTAGTTTCCAAGGTTTTTAAAGGAATAGAAGGGACTGCAGCCTCGTTTGGCATAACCCACAAGAGCTGTAACTAAAGCTGGTGCTGCAGGAGTGCTGGCAAAACCCCTCTCCTCCTCAGAGCTCCACTGAACCCAGGGGCAGGACCAAATGCAGCTGGATGGGAATGATGCACCTGAAGGGCTTTCCTTGAGCTCTCTGAGATTTATTCACCTCACAGGCACATGTGACACAAACCAAGTGAAACAGCCCCCTGGGATACTCAGTTATGCCTGACTGCAAACACTGGGAGTGACTCATTCTTCACCAAGGACTTTTTTTCCTTTCACTCCAGCAGGATTTACACTCCCAATAGCTATTTTCAAAGTGACTGCACGTCTTTAGTGCAACTCCTTAGCTGTGTTCCTTATCCATGAATATAGTTATGAAACATTTCAGGTTTTGTTTAACTTCTTAGAGCAGAAAAAAATACTCTGCCCTCAAGCAGGTTATAATTCAGACTAATTGCCAGGTAGTTTTTAGGAAGTGGTTAATCAGAATTACAGGGTACATGAAAATCAAACCAAGTAACCTTTAGGCCTGTACTGAGCTTGCAGAGGTAGAATAAGAAGGAATAAGATGCACTTCTCTATGAACACTAATATTATTTCCTTCCAAATACTGGATGAAGTTTCCATCTGGCTCCTGCTCTGCAAACTGTGAACTGAGACCCAGCACCCAACCTTTGCAGATGGTCCCAACCAGAGATGAGCACCAGGTGATAGACAGGGATGGAGACGTTCACAGGAGTGCACTTCACACTTGCATTGCCCAACCACACAATGGGCAAGACCCAAAGCACACCAGTCAGGCCAGGTACCAGCTGCTGGTGCCCCACCTACTATGAGCAGGTTTCTACAAATGCTCTGCAGCCAGCATCGTGCTGCACAGCAGAGGCTCAACCCAGCCAAAACAAGAGGTTTAGTTTATATCTTCTTTACAGAAGATGATCAAATACCAAGAAGACTTGGTTGGAGTCACCTGAGATCATGGGATATTGACAATGATATGTTGGGATGTCTTTGAGGGGCACGTACAGATCCATGCAAAGCACCTGGCAGCTTCTTCAAAAACAAACCTAAAAGCATTTTCAAGACTGCAGAAAATCCATTAAAATAACATTCCTG